ATATGAAAAAAAAAAAAAAAAAAAAAAAAACATAGAACGAATTCAGTAGCAAAATGATCACAAAAACGCCATGTTGTTTTTTCCTCGGTACAGTTTATAACACAAAAAAAGAAAACCAAAATATACCTCCCTATCTTTTGGCCTGTATGTATTTGTTCTTGATAGGTGTTCGGTTGTTGAGTGATCGCCACAGGATTTTATCGACACCACTCTTTTTTTTAACCTCTTAATGCTTATCTTTGTTCGGAGACAATTAATGAAAAAACGCAAGCTTTTTTATTTTTTTTCCAAAGGATGAAGACCGTCGGTCGGGTGTTTCCGGAAAAATTCTTCTCGCCGGCGTGTTCTCTTTCTTTTTGTACCGTCCGTATCTCAATTCAAATTCAAATGAGATATTATTCCATCTTGATACCCTAAAATTATGCCCTACAAACAAGGGAAGCTGGTACATCTCGTGTAACAGTTATTTAGGTAGGTTTATAATTATATTTTATATTTTAGGCGTATACATAATTAAATTAGCTTGAGTGGTAAAGCAGCAATTATTTCAAAAACGGATAGCATAGGTGAAAATTTCCCTTACAAGATTAGCCATGAAGTTGATGCTCCTTCGTAAATCTTGATAAATTAGTGATTATATTTTTCATGTTTTCTCAATATTTGGTTAGGTTTAAATTTGGATTCTAATTGATTTTTATATTTATTATATGAAATTTTAGAGTTTTAAAGAAATGCATTTTTTTATGTACTTAAATTATTCCAGGTCTTATTAATTCCTTTGTCAAGTGAAAATCGTTCGAAAATTATGTTCAAGTGCAAGCCATTTTTGTGAGCCATTTTTCTAACTTTTTCCCGAGCAAGACCAAGTACTTCTCGGCCCAAAAATCCAAAGGAGAAACTCAGTCTTTTTATGCAACAAGACCCGGCCCTTAAGAGCATCAAGAATTCTGCCCCTCTAGTTAAGGTTTTTGGCTCCATTTTGATTCAAAATTCAAACACTCCAAAAGCCAAGTATGGTAGGCAATATTGACCTCAACCCTTCCTTTTTCCTCGCCAGAATCTACCCCAAAGCAGCCCAAAACTCCGCCAATCACACCAAGGAAATCAACCCTTATTCCCTTCATTAAGGTAAGAATTGTTTAGCATTCTTTCCATTATTTTTTCCACTCCTCCAAGTCAAGTTCAAAACCATTTTTCTTCCAACCCTTCGGCCTTTTAAAAGCAGCAAAGAATTCCCCTAGAAGGCTCACAAAATACTCAAAAATTCCCTCAAAAGCCATCTCAAAACTCTCCTTCCTCCCGGCGTTCCGAGCACTCGCGAGCATTGAAGTCGTCGAGACCCGAGCCCGCAGTCGCGCCTCACCAAGAGCCATCACAACTGTGTGCGGACCTCGATTTTTTGTCCCGAGACCCTTTTTCCGAGCTTTAAATTACCATAGCCGAGAGTTCTAAAATTAAGATAATTTTCGCAAAGTCAAGAACATTTAGCTAAGAAAATTCTTTTAAGTTGGTGATTTTATTTTACCAAGGAAAGTTTAGTTATTTATAAAAGTTATGCTTCTAAAGATGTAGATTTTCGAGTAGTCGAGCCCTCAAGCTGTTTAGTAACACATCTGCATTTACATCACCGTCTCCGGTTATCAGACGGGGATTCTATACTATGGTTTGTTCAATATAAACATGTCGTAATATAGTTTTGATATTTGTGTGAATGTGGGCCAGTGGGTCAGAGTTATCAGTTTTTCCTACTAGCGGGCTGGTTGATCCCGAAGGCACTAGTAGAAGCGGTTGATGCCGAACATGCTAGCTGGACCGGTTGATGTCGGGTATAACTACTAGCGGACTGGTTGATGCCGAAGGCACTAGTAGTAACTGGTTACGAGACCATCAGTTCATGAATTTGGGTTAATGGTGTATAATAGTCAATAATTGAGAAGATTATGGAGGCTTGAAATAAGAGTCATTGGTCCGAGTTTACCTGGGGGGCTTGAAGCTGGTGTTATGCAGTGAGGCAGTGAATTCATGTTCGTATGATTATTATGTTATCTGTTTAGAATGAATTGATGCATAATATGCTTTTACCACTGAGTATAGAGGATTTGCTCACCCCATTGTTTTTTAGGTTGATCGACATGGCGACAAATACAAACTGGGGAGAGGGTGGTCAATAATTGTTTTTACCATATGCTTCTGCAAACTTAATGTTGTTTTGGCTTTTAAACTGATGTTGAGACTTTGATTACCGTGATTGAGACTTATTATATTTGAAAGTTTTTTTTTGTCTCGAATGTTTGAGAAATAAGAAAGACGTTGGGAAGTGATTTCCATACGAACCTAGTGTGAGGCTTAGGTTAATCTTTGGAAGAAAATAAAGATATTTTGAGTAGTGTCCGAGAAAAGTTTTAAAGAAAAATATTTTAAAAACTCAAATTATTTCTGAAAACTGCGTTTTTTCTAAAGATAGATAAGTAAGCGGGTGCTACAACTACTACCAGCTCTTTCAAAACTTGGTGGTGGCAGGTGTGCTCTATTAATCATTGTGAGGTTATTGAGGCTAGGATCCAACTGACAAGATACATGTTTTGTTGGATTTGGATGGATTTGGAAGTCTCAGAACTTGTGGCTATTTCAGAAAAATAATCGTCCGGTCCATGTTTTTCTAAATGCAACACTTAAGGATTGGCTCGAGTTTTGTGCTGTGAAGTGTTATCTTTGTACCTGGCTTTGTTTTCG